TGTAGGGCTACGATAACACATGTGTTAATAATAAATTTATTAGATTTGATAAATTTATCTCATAAATTACTAATAAATTTTATAATTTATTTTTTATTAATATCCGAACAACCTGTATAATACTCTAAAACTTTACACGATGGCCAGTTTGACAGACAGGCCTTACGCAGATGAGCAGATCCTGGTAGGATAGGATTTGACCCATCGCGTGAAAAAAGTGGGTCCAGACTCTGAATGAGCTGAGAGCAAGAAGCATCAGCATGTCTGGTGTCCCGTGCCCCTGCTTCAACGGTCCACGACTTTGAAAAGGCAGGGCTACGATGGGAGACAAGCTAGGGCAGAGGCCGAAGAACATGGGATTGCGGTGTGCTGCCTTTTGCCTTTTGCTCGATCGCGGCGGCCCTTACCGCTTTTTCCACGCCTGGGTGGGACCCTCTTCGGTCCTTGTGCGGAGTTGGCCACTGCACGTAGATTTTCTGTAACGCTGTGTTTAGTTCACGGAAATTTGGAAATTTGGTTACGGGAGCATTTTCGTTTTTATTTGGTAATTAGTGTTTAATTATGGACTAATTAAACTTAAAACGTTCTTCTTGCGATTTCCAACCAACCTGTGCAATTAATTTTTTTCGTCATATTTAATGCTCCATACACGTATCGCAAGATTCGATGTGATTACTACTGTAGCACTTTTTGAACTAAACACAGCCTAAATGTTCAAGAATAATATTAACTCCACGCTTAGAGCAGGTACACTAACGAAGTTATAGCCAAGTCAGTATTTTTATTTATGTGGAGGAGAAAAAAGAGAAGAGAGGAGAGAGAAGAGAAAAGAGAAAGAAGAGAGAAGAAAACTTGCTCTTATTCTAGCATAAGCGGGGCACGGAAGCATAGGCATCTATGCGTCTGTTTGCTTAAATTTATCAATTATGGTATAATATTTTTCTCTCATAATAAATCAGTGAATAGTACTTTTCAACCTGGTTTATCAACTAAATGAACAGGACCAGTATATGTGAGGAGTAGTAGGAAAAAGAAAGTAAGACATGATACCACATAATAATAAAAAACTTTTTTATAGACAAACATGAGACAATTGTTGTATGACTTGGCTTTTATAATTTGATTTATAGCCAAGCACTTAGCTCTATTATTGACCTTGCTCTTAGGCTAGTCTCAGTGTAAGTTTCATTTACATTAAATAAGTTGCCACATAAGCATTTTTGATGGCATGACAACGTATTTAAGAGAGAGAAGAATATGAAACTCTCTTGGCACGATTAACAATTCTCTATGGGTCATAAAATTAAATGATAGTGAAACCATAGAATGAAACTCTCTATTGAAAGTGAGTGTTTCATCATTTGGGTCGCAAAATACTTGTGTGTAAATCACAACCTCGTATGCTCTTTCGATCGCTAGTCTCGGTAATCTTAGAATTACTGTAGCTAGCTTATGATATAACAAACTCTACTTTTGCTTAATAAAAAACGTGCAAAGACAAGGTCGAGAAAAAAAATCAAGTATTATTTTATTTTATACGATATGGCAGTCTTGTAAATAATGCTATGAAAATCTCTATTGAAATTGGCCTTAGCTTGCAGTAGGAGTATGCATTAGCGAACGAGGCAGTAATGTTTATATACCGATATGAGGTTGTCAAGTGAAGGAAGTTTCCGAAGGTAGGGATAATGCTTTTCCTCAAACAAAGGAAACAAAGAAAAAGGTCAGGACAAGTAGCCCATAAAAAAAAGGTCCTTTGCACTTTTGGCACGAGGGACCATCGTAAAGAAATTTAGGGTGGAACTCAGATCCTAGATTGTTGGGTTGTAATGGAGCCATTATTCGGCAAATGCCAAAATCTACACCCTGTTTGTTTAGGGTTCGTTTGATTGTTTATGTGGCTTTATAAGTCAACTGATGCTGTTATGTTGTGAGAGGAAAAACATTGTATCTTGACTGATAGGCATGGCTGATACGATCAAGCGAACAGGGTGCTAGCGGTCAAGAATATTTGGATGGTAGTCATCCTAAAATTTTGTAAAATTGTGAGTACGACGTGTAGGGTTCATATGTCTTCGTTTTTTCTTCAAAATGAAACATAGTCATGTGTGATATTGGGCCTTGTTTAGATACCCTTAAAATTCCAAGTTTTTTCACTCTCTCTCCATCACATCAATTTTTAGCCGTTTGCATGGAGCATTAAATGTAGGTAAAAAAAATAACTAATTGCACAGTTTAGTTGAAAATCATGAGATGAATCTTTTGAGCTTAGTTGGTCCACGATTGGACAATATTTACCAAATAAGACGAAAGTACTACTATTCATCGGTTTGAAATTTTTTGCAATCTAAACATGGCCTTGTTTTGTAGATCAAATGAGAAGGAATATATATGGTGAAAACAGATAGCAGATCAGATATATAGTATTGCATTGAAATTTGATTATCTGGAAATTTCAAACTGCGTCCATGCAATGGTTGTTGCTTGACACCTTATCATTTGAGGTGCTCGTTGCGGCGGCCAAATTCCCGGCCTGAAGGAGAGAGCCAACTTCGGCTGTTGGCCGGCCATATTGACAAATTTCTATTGGCCGGATAAATTTTTGCCTGAAACCAAACAAAGGATAAAATTTGAAGGCAGGCCAAATTTTGGCTTGGCTACTCCTTGGGTCTAAAACTAAACGACCTCTTGGGCCTTCTTTGAATTAGGAAACACACATGAATTAGGAATGTAAAAAGTTCACATTACCTCCCTCAATTTTTGTGAAAGTCTGCTTTTCCTCCCTGAATCCTAAAATCAGTTAAACCACCTTCCTAAACTTTTAAAATCGTTCGTTTTACCTTCTTGACTGTTCGTTTTACCTCCCTCCATGACTAGTTATAAGCGGTTTTCAAAGGCGGTTTCGTCTTTTTCTTTTTTATTTATTTTGGCTGAATTTTGAAAAATCATATTAAATCATCGAAAAATCATAAAATGGAAAATCAAATTTTCTTGGACTCCACATGAGTACATCTACACAGTGAACATATAATATGGTATGCTTTAGTATAAATTTTTTGTTGTAACTTTAGATCTATGCTTTTCTATAATTAATTCATAGTTGCAGTTCTATGATCCAATTGTGGTGAAATTTTTATGGTGGGCTAATTATTGTATGATTGAACTGTAGTAAAAATTTCATACTCATTGGATTTATATAACTTAGTTTTAGATTTATTTAGGTGTATGCTTGTTAAAAAGTTTATAAATCTATACCTAAGTTATACATGATCCAATGAGTATAAAATTTATACTACAGTTCAAGCATACAATAATTAGCTCACCATGAAAATTTCACCACAATTAGACCATAGAAACTGCAGCTATGAATTAATTATAGAAAAATCATAGATCTAAAGCTATAGTAAAGAATTTATATTAAAGCATACCATATTATATGTTCACTGTGTAGATCTACTCATGTGAGTCTAACGAAATTGGATTTTCCATTTTATGATATTTTTGTGATTTGCTATGATTTTTCAAAAATTTAGCCGAAATAAATAAAAAAAAAAAAGACAAAACCGCTATTGAAAACCGCTTAGGGTCAGGTAGGTAAAACGAATAATTTTAAAAGTTCAGGCAGATGGTTTACCTAATTTTAGAGTTCATGGAGGAAAAATAGACTTTCGTAAAAATTGAGGGAGGTAATGTGGATTTTTTTCATTAGGAAACGGTCTCCTTTTTGTCCATGGTCTCAGGAGAAAACTGTTAGCACCTAGCGCCGACACCCGCTGATCCATCAGCAAGCCCAAGTCCAGCATCATGTCACACCAGCAAGGCAGCAAGGGAAACTCGTGTCGGCAAGTCAAGTATTATGGCCCAATATAGGTCTGTAATGGGAATGTGGGCCTGGACCAAGATTTGTGCGCCGCATACAAGAGAGAGGAGGCATGACATTGTTTTTTTTTGATGAAACGAGGCATGACATTGTTTGGAGTATTTTAAAATAATATAAGTATATAAGCATACTTAAATGACAAATAAATATGTGCGCGCACACAAGGTAAAGATGGTATATTGAAGATAGGAGTAGCTACACGGCTACACCGAGGAGTAGAAAAAACTCACACACAACACACACGTCATATAATAACAATCGAAATATATAAGTATACTAACTAAACTCCATATGAACTATATAGCTTGTGCATCATTAGTTTTTAAAAATAAAACATAGTGTATGATTTAATACCCTAGACATAACACGATACATCGTGGTACTATGAGAGAAGGACAAAGGCTTGGAAATTCCCGGTCAATTTCAACTCATCAACTGAGAGAGATAATTTTCAATCAATAAACATTGTGATAGCTACTTGAACTATTTTTATAATTAGAAACAAGTGAGAACAACGTATACACAATTCCAGAGAAGATACATATATACCACCAAACAACGAAAACTAGATCAACAGATTGCAACAAAAAAACACACGCTGATGCAGATGTCATCGTTTCCATCTCCACTCCACATGCACAAAGCCCACATCTAACAATGACGGACACACTGAGATGTGCTATGTCCAAGGAGCTCAGGCCGCGAGTTCCTCCGATTCCGAATTTACGGCGCACGCCGCAAAAACATTGATTAACTTTTGCGAGACGTTTGAGCTTAATTAGTCAAAATTGGACAATTATTACTTCCCGCCGGCGCCAATTCGCGGAACTAAACGGGCCTCAATTATTTACGCCAAGACGCCGCCATTGATTAACTCACGTAAAATCTTCCCGTGCAAGGCTAAATACGAAGGGATCTAGCTGTCCGTACGAGCTAGCTATCGACCGTTTGGCCGTGGCTTGTCGTAAACGATCGTAAATTTTCAGCCAAAACAGTATTTTTCTCTCATACAAACCAACTAATATTTTTTTACGAATCAGCAACGATATAAACCAGCCAAACCGAACATGGGTGCTACCGCCGGTAGGACATACTCCGTAGGCTTCAGCCAACGGGCCGGATGTCTGCCGACGACGAGCCTGACACCTGCTACCGGTGGAGCCGCGACTTCGTTGTCGCGCACGCCATCTTCGCCAGCGGCCTAGTCACGTTTCCGGTGGCCGTCCTCTTCCTCGTCAACCGGCCGCACACAGGCCGCGCCATCTTCTTCGCCGCGTTCGCGGCCTTGTGCACCACCACCAGCCTCATCCTCTGCTTCCGCTTCTACGCCGAGCTCAGGCGCCCGCCCGGGCCGCGCTGGCTCTCCGCAGCGGCGTCCGGCGGCCTGCAGCAGGAGGACGCTGAGGCGGCGTCAGCTGTCGCCGGGGAACAAACGACGACGACGCGGGCGATGTCGCACGCCTTCCGCCACCCGGAGCAGCTCGTGATTGGTCACCGCGTGGAGATGCATGCCGCCCTCGCTGCGGGGCGCGTCCCGAGCTACGACTACCTGGGCGACGGCGCGGCCGAGGACTGCGCGGTGTGCCTGGGAGAGGTGGAGAAGGGAGAGACGGTGCGGCAGCTGCCGGCGTGCCAGCACGTGTTCCACAGAGAGTGCATCGATCCGTGGCTGCGAGCGCACGCAACTTGCCCGGTCTGCCGTTCCAGCGTGCTCCCGGCGCCCGAGCGGCCGGTGGAGGTCGTTTGGTGGACATCGGAGCAGTTCATGGGCAGACCAGGATGACGATCTTATCCCCGCCTGTGATCACGGTCGTGTTTGGTTTGCTGGCAAACCCTGGCCAGCACTAAGTTTAGGTTAATTTAATCCTGGCCATCATTAACTTTAGGCTAACTAACAAATATGTTTGTGCAATGCAACACGATATATAACTTGTTGCACAGTGTTAGTATGAACAAAAATGTGCTAGCTATAATTGGGTTTGGCTCAACCTTAAATTTAAGAGGCTTTGACATTGCTACCCCACATTCATGGCTTATGATGACGTTGTCCTCATTTTTCTCAACTTGTGTTTTTGCCTCTGTAATCTCAAATCGAAAGCAGACTTTACCCCTATTCTATTAAGTCTTTGTAGCGGTATTAATTTTGGGAGACGTCTAGGTAACAACGGGTTATTTTTTAATCCTTCCAACAACTAGATTTTTTTCATACATTTACACTGTCATATAGCTATATTTACACTGTCATATTACTATATTTACGAGGATCTCTTCAGTGTAATTTACTGGACAGAGTGATATAATTTAGAAATAACACAAATATATGTCAATTTTTTTAAAAAAAATATAAATTATTTCTATGGATTTTAAAATTAAAGAAATATATGTCAAATTGCTCACATATGTCAGATATCATATACAAACCATGAGTAGCTCCTACCTGTCGCGCTCCCGCACACCCCCTGCACACCCGGATCGTCTGTGCAATATGACAGGTACCACAAGCCCCTACGTACCTGTTATATCAGATGCTACTACTATACATGCATAATGCGCCCGCACACCCACTGCCACAAAGGATCCTAGAGAGGGAGGGCTGCCATGGGCGGAGCTATAGTGAAGTTATTGGGTGCGGCCACACCCATAAAAAAAAGTTAAAAAACAGTGATAAGACCCAAATTTCAACCATATATGCACCCACGTATTATAAACTGTCGCACCCACAAAGGCAAACACACCCCCTTAGATTTGCTCTAGCTCCGCCACTGAGGGCTACGCAAAGGCACGAGCTAGTAGATGCGTCGTCTGACCAATCACAATGCGAGACATGGGGCCAGCTCCTCCGTTGGCAGCAGATCGAACGGCCAGCAATTCGGTTGTCCCTGGACACTAAAACAACCGCATGTCATATAGCAAATCTGTTCAATAAAAAATTCGTTCTTGGCGGTTTGCCATCGCTTTTGTTGGTTCAGTGTGATTTTACCCTAGTTTTGGATTCAAGGTTTAGACATTATTTTTGTAGATTTGACAAGATTTTAGTAGCAAAAATTAATATAGTTACTGCATAAGTTTTAAAATTTAAACCTATGCAAACTTTTATAATTTTTGCAAAATTTGACAACATTTATGCCAAAATATTGACATACATATTTCATTACCACACAACTTGTATTTAATCATGAAACCATAAACGAAAGCTATGATATAGTAGCATGTCGATATCACATTAACACATCTAGATCACATACCAATATATGCATAAGACATGCCAACATACACATCTGCATGGCATATGAAACAAAAATAACAACTAGTGGTGAGTTTTGACATCTCTAGTGGCAAACATCACATTCAAGCATGGAAACCTAACAAAGCAGTACGCCTTCGAACAGTTCCTCCCATTGCTCCTCTTGACCTAGATCTTCCGGTTGCACTTGCACTTGCATAGTTTCACTTCATATGAAAAGAGTAAAATCATGTTGGTAAAATTATCATTGGACCATTGTAACATGACTTACATTGGATCATGACTTACATTGGATCATTATTGTCCTCCTTGACTCTCTTCCTATTGTTGACCCTCTTTCCCTTCCTTTTCCACTTCTGGTACCAGTACCACCTCATATGAAAAGAATAAAAACATGTTTAGTAAAGTTAGTAATGATTAAATTTGCAAAATAAATATTAATGAACAATATGCACGACTTACATTGGGTCATTGTTGTCCTCTCCTGACCCCTTCCATTTCCCCTTCCCCTTCCAATCCAGTTGCACTAGCACTAGCACTTGCACTTGCACTTGCACTTCTTGTGTTAGAAAAAATGTGTTAGTAGAATTAAAACTCCATGATTAAATGAGCTAAATAAATAGTAATGGGAAGCAATGCATGCATCACTTACATTGGGTCATTGCTTCATTCTCTTGATCCATCTTGTGGTGTTGAGAACCTCTTCTTTGCCTAGTTGTAGGACCTTCTTAGCAATGTTTAGTTGTATGGCTTAGTTCATTGCATACCAAGCACACCTTCCTTTTCTTACTAGTGTTAGCTCCATCATATGCCTTGATCCAAGATTTTCTTGGTCTCCCAAGTTTCCTCCTCATTTTGGGTTTCTTGATTTTGTCCTAAATCAACATTAGACCACTGATCCTTGACTGTCACTGGATTGAATTGACATGCATATTCCTTTCTAAATCTATCAATAGAGAAGTAATCATGAACAAAGTTATCCATGTGTACCTTCCTACTAAGCTTTACAATGAAAATTAAAGCATGGCTACAAGATTTTCCACTCACTTGCTAAGCCCTATAACTACACGTGTTTTGCTCCAAGTTGCATTGATTGCATGCCTAAATCTATTCACAATTACTTTAGCTTTCTCAAACCCACATATTAATAGCTCATGGCCTTCAATAGTCTTGGTTTTAGCATTCAAATTGTTGGTAATAGCTGGGATTATTATACCTGACATATTACTACAAATCTTAGCCCTCAAAACAAACTTCTCAATGATCGTCTGTCTTATCTTGTCAAGCATTTCCATGATTTGTAAATCCTTTGTTTTTGACACCTAGCTATTGAAAAATTATGAGAGGCTATTATTGATGTAATATACTTTATAGTCTTCATTGAATTTGCTTCTACTCCCATGGACGATTCTCATCTAACCATTCAAGGGCCTTAGGAACCTTCTCCCCTATCAGCCCCATAAAGTAGTTGAACTTGGCAATTGTAAAGCTCATAGCAGCACACCACAAAAATTCACTATATTCTTCGACAAGTGCCTCATGCATTCACTATATTCTACCCCAGGGCACATGTCATCCACAACCACTTCTATTCCTTTTCCATTTACCAGCATCCGTACTAATGACTAAACCTATATGAACATATTGGCTCAATGTCAAGAAATTAAGTTCAAACTTGAAAGATGCAAAACAGATTTAGAAATATGAACACACCTAGAGGACTACTAATAACCTTGTTCAAGTTATCGACAAACCAAGTCCAACTTTCATTCAACTCAATCTCAATCACTCCATATGCCACTAGGAATAACTAATTATGACCATCCATGACAACAACTAATGCCAATGGACCTCTTGACCTTCCTGTCAAATGAGTTGCATCCATGGAAATATAGGGTCTACATCCTTACAAAAACCCATCAGTGCATGGTTTAAGAGCAACAAAGAACCTCATAAAACACACATCATCATTGTTCTCTTCAACCTTTAGCTCTAGAATACTACCAGGTACTGATCTCATAAGCTTAGCTTGATATGTATATAATAAACTATAATTATCATCCCACTTGCCATATAAAATGTCTAGTGGTCTCAACTTTCCTCTAACAACTTTGTCCTATGGAACCTCCATCGACTACTTTTTTAGTTCACAACTCTATTAGCCACCTATTTATTTGAGGTCATTGTCTCACCACACTTGTTGAATGAACCACAAGTATACTTTGGTTCACTAGTCTTTACCTGCAATGTAAATTAAAATTGTACAAAAATGAACCACAAATGTTGTGTGAGTATAGTTGTCATCATTGAATTCAATAATACAAAGAATTTGCATTTACCTTATATCCAATGTATTCCTTGCTTGTAGATGCAAAAGTAGTCCACCTACAACCTTGCCTGGCTCTCTTGCATATATCCATAAATCTTTTGTTGACTATTCTTATGATCTAGAAACTATGGTCATTCAAGATAGCATTATGTGTGACTGTTGACTTGCATTGATCCACATCCAGGAACATAATATTTACATTAGACCTACATGGATCATCAACATCATATGAAAAGATGGTAAGATCATACTCATCATCCTCATCAATAATTTCAGCATCAGGATCAAACTCAAGGTGAGAGCAATCATCAAAAAGTCAGATGATGTAGACAAATTAGTGTCAATATCATAGTTACTGTCACTTAGTGCCACACGTGAATCTATGTCAGAGTATATCCCCTCTTCATCTACCCCTACAACCTCATCCTCAGAAGCACTTATTTAGTTGTTGCTCCCTCTTTTTGGTTGTCTCTCTCTCTTAGATGTGGTTGTGACTGTCTCATTGTGGTTGTTTCATTCCTGGTTCCCTCGGTTATGAGTACTCTACTCCTCAAAGTGGGGTGACACCTATATGCTTTGTTGGTGAAAATTCCAATGGCCCATCAAAATCATTTATATTATGCATACATACATGTGTACATACATTTTTTACACATATACATAGCTTGTGTGAGGTGGGTGAAACTAGGAGATGAAAACACCTCTTTTTTCATACCATGGCTACAATATCTCACAAAAAAATTATTGCATGACTATCCTCTCCTGATGGCCTAATTTTGACTAATCACAATCAGAAACCTCAACTTCTTTTGGAATCTTTCAAAAATAGAATGGACCTTAGTGAGCTTAGTTGTATTCACTATGACCTTAGCTCCCTTCTTAGTGTCCGTAGTTTAGAACATATGGATGCAAGTTTTAGTCCAGAGGAAATTAACTCAGCCATCAAATGCGTTCCCAACAGTCATGCTCCTGGTCCAGATGGGTTTAATGGAATGTTCATAAAGAAATGTTGGAACATTGTTAAAGATGACTTCCTCAGGCTATTTAGAGATTTCTACAATAGTAATCTAGACTTGAGGACCATCAACTCTTCGCACATTGCCCTAATCCCAAAGAAATCCAATCCTGAATCTATGGATATTTTAGACCTATCTCCCTGTTAAACTACTCTCTGAAGTGTATCACCAAAATCCTTTCCACAAGGCTCCAA